GAATCCTTTTCCTATAGTTCTTGATCCAAAGCGGTGGATATTCCTTTGAAGGTCCCTTCGATCAAGTGGGGAGAACCGGCAGTGCTTTTTTCAGAAGAAGATATTGAGAAATCTCTCTCCCCTCTCCAATGCGCACTAGTTGGAAAATGCTCATATGGTCACCCTTCCCTTGCGGAAATCAAGGAATTTCTGGTAGGTACGTTCAGACTCCAAAAATCTATTGCTGTCACTACATTAGATCTGAGGCATGTGCTTCTCAAATTTGAAAGTGAGGAGGAATACCTTAGGGTTTAGCTGCGAGAGGCTGTTTTTATCAAGGATTTTCTTCTAAGATTTTTGAAATTGACGCCTGGGTTGGAGTTAGGATGCCAAAATTGGTAAGCATCCTCATGATAAATTTCTGCAAGAATAACTAAATTTATTAGATGAAACCATCTAATAAACACATATCTCTTTGGTTGGTCATCTCATAAACTTGTTTTCATTAATTAAGAATTCACCACTAACAATACATAAATTTCTTGCTTCTCAGTAAGAAAAACTTACTCAAGAAGCTTTGAGTTTTCCTTTAATGGCTGATATTGAGCTATTAGATGGCAGCACAAAATATGACCATATAATCAAATTTAATTTTTTTATGACCTGCATGGAATCCCAAGGCTATCAGCCCTACTTTTCGACCCTAATACGAAACTAGCAATAGCTGTTTAAGGTTTGGAAGACAACAACTGAAGCATTCTCAGACTTCTCTCTCTCATCCCTATGGGGTGTGATACTGTACCACTGTTACTCCAGACCTAGTTAATGGATTAGTGGGGTTAGTAGCAAGGTGCACACAGGCCCACTAGTAAGTGTGGAGTGTGGAGCCTGCCTTTCTACAGATAGAACCCATGCCTCCCCATTATTAGGGATGCCTTATGACCAACTTGACAAACAATGAATTGGTATTTTTGTCTTCCCTAGAGCCTCATTCTCTTGCATTTAAATGATTTAAACTGAGCATCTATTCACAACTACTTCAACAACCCTCAATAGACTGGTCAGAACAACAAAATAACTTCCTCAACAGTCTTTGGTCAAAGAACCCTCTTAGCAAAGTAAATGTGAAATTCCTTCTCTCCTCTCCCAACCATTTATTTTCTTCAGTTAATTTATATGAAATCCCCATCTGTTTGCAAGAAAATTGATATGGAATTCACTACAATCTTCTTCGTGAACCTCCCAAGGAGAATGGTAGGGCCTCTGTGTAGATGTAGCCAAGTAGCCAACTCAATTATTCACCGAGATCTGCTAGGTTGTTTGAATTATAAGGCTACAACAAGGTGTTGGGTCTGAATATCTTTCCCCCATTCCCATTGTATCCGTTCTAAACAAGTTTGGAGCTTCCAAGAGGAACCATATTTCAACATGGGCCACTTTCGGGTTCAATCCCAATACTAGAGAAAAAAAACTGCAAAGTTCATGCAAAATTAAAGCAAAATAGAAAACCATGAGTACCCGCCCAAATCTTCATTCAAGCACCTAAAACCTTACCCATTACACCTTCATTTTTCTATTGCATGCTAATCACCCCAAAAATAATAAAAAAGAGATGTTAAGAAAGGAGATAACAAAGCAGCACAAAAGTAAATGAAAAAAGTCCTCTTTTTTTTTCTTTCATGTTTCTTATTTTTTCCTTACCTAATGAATGATGACCACTTTCATTAATCAAGTCAGGATTCGCAAAGGTTAGTTTTGGGATGGTTCTGTGTTTCTTCTTGCTAAATCTTTTCACTGAGCTAGCTCTTAGGATATCTTCTTTCTTTGTTCTATGAATGGGTATGGTTTCTTCTGGGCACCTGCCATTCAAGCATAACCAAACACCATCAGAAATTCAGAATCATGAAAAATAAAAAAAAAGGGGGAGAGAGAGAAGGAGAATGAGATCAGACTAGGGAATCAGCCAAACCATTTGCTCGTTTATTAACCTATCCAAAGTAATAACCAAGACATAGTAATAAAAGCAAAAAGGACAAATGCAAATTCCATAACCATAATCCATAAAAAAAAACACAAATATAAGTCCATAACCACAATCCATAAAAACCACAAATACAAGTCCATAACCATAAAAAAAATTAAAAAAAAAAAAACACAAGGTTTACATTTCACAACTACAACCACAAAGTCACAAACACAAATTCCACCACCACTCAACCACTTAGTCATCAATGTTGACAAGAGGATGCTCCTCGATCAAGGATGTCATTTCTGCAATAAAAAGACAAATACAAATTAGAATTATTATAACAAAATAAACATGAACAAAAAAATTAAAAAACACAAAATTTACTTGATTCCGTATTTTCAAGCTCATCTAAGCTCCCCTCTATATAAAGATAACCGCGTGACATTCACAATCAATCTTGTCCACAAATGATAGCTTCTACCATTCTCGGAGTTAGAGAGTTACAAAATGAATCAAGCACATGACCTTTGGTGCTAAATATTTATCCAATTCCGTTTTGTTCTCTACAGTTCCTTGGCCCTCTTTTTGCTTGTTAAATAATGAATTCATAAAATCAGCAACATCCTCCACAATCTCAACTTCCATATCATTTGGATCTTGAGATTGATTACTTGAGTGAACATTAGGAGATAATTAGCTTGAACTATAGAATTCAAAACTTGTCATACTTCCTTTTCATCTTGTAAGCCATTAAACTAATAGATGGATCATCACTCTTACACCTCCAAGAAAAAACAATTCCAACACCATAAATTTCTTTCATGTATTCATCAATGAAATGGGTAGTAAGACACATGTAAGTAAGGTTTTGAGATGATGTCCATGTGTCTGTAGTGAAGAATACCCTTGATGATAGTTTTTTAAAAAATTGTTTCAACATTTTCTTTTCCTCCACATAAAGACTATAACAATTTTTAGCTACTGTTGGACGTGAAGGAACTACAAATTTTGGTTGCATCTTACCACAGAAGTCACGAAACCCCTCTCGTTCCACATGTTTAAAAGGTAATTCATCTATAATAATCATCCTAGCAAGTTCCTTTCTACATTCATCTTGATCAAACTTGTAAGGCACAAGTGATGGTGTGGTGTTCCCCTCTTTAGAACTTTGAAATGAAACTTCCAAAGTCTTTTACCGCTTGTCTACCTTATTAAGGGGATATTTGCCCTTACAATCAAGTTTAGTAAAATGATTCAACACCCAAGATTTTTTTCTAGAAGAAGTGGTAGTACAAACTTTTGAATCAATCTTTGAACTAGTTGGGTGAGATGAATTACCAGCATTATTTGAAGATGCAGGAAAAAGAGATGGGTTTATGCTTGTAGTTCTAAGTAGATGATTGCTGGCACTTTGAGTTTGTATTGGGGTGTGGATAGAACTGACCCAGCCGAACGTTTCTAAATCCCGTGGATGGGACCGCAGGTAAAATATACAAATTAGGTAAGATGTTATTGTGATATGAACATGAGCTTTGAAATTTAAGAAATCCGTCCTCACAAGTCACAACTCTCCATTCTCTCCAAATTGGAATGAAGTCGATTGGCCCCTTATGCCAATCGGGATTTCCTACTCACTCTTTCTACTCATTCTCTACCCGTAGTGAATTGAGCCCTACATCTCTATTATGAATTGAGAGATGTGTGGTTCCAATTCATGGCCAGTAAAAATGGGTAGAAAAAGTGAGTAAAAAATCTGGATTCATCTTGGTCTTGTCATCAGCCGGAGGTCAATATCAAAATCACAATTATGTGAGCCAGTGGGCCTTGTCCAAATACATGGGATGGGATGTCCACGTGAGCCAAATTTCGCCGTATTCTATTCAGGGAACTCCTACCCTACTAACTATTTTTTTTTGGTAAATACCCTACTAGATAAAGTTTTGACAAAAATCAATCTTCACTATTACAGTTTTTAACAAAACAGAGTATTATTTATTATTTCCAGTGAAATCAAGGGAGAGAATCAATAATTCACTGCAATTAACCAAGTCATCAGGTATGTAAAGAAAAGGAGATACTCATCTGCAGCCCCACCACTGATGTCTAAGGCAAGATGGGTAATGAGGCCGCTAGCTAGAGAATAAAATCAAATCAACAGGCTCACTCTGTCGGTAGCTAATGGTTATATACAATGTTTTGGAACCTATGGTTAGATCATTTGGTCTGGAAATCGTCTAGAAAATCAGTTTTGTTTTACCTTTAAATTTGGTCTTTGATAAAAAATTGTTGAATTGGTCAATAACTTATTAATTTAGGTGATTAAATTATCGATCTGTTCAATCTATTTAATAGTTTCTGGTTATTTTTATTTTTCATTGATACGAGTCATTCATTCAGATAATTGAACCATTAACCCAAAAACCGATGACCAAAATAATTTCAATTTTAGATCGATTTTAAAAACCTTAATGTTATATATAAATTGTATTTAATTGAATTTGAGAAGGCGAAAATATGAGATGAGATAAGTGATGAGCTCAGCATTAAGACTCATATACAATTTGTTAGTACGAAACAATTATAAGTCTAAGTCAATCGATCAGTATCGAGAAACCGGTGGCCAAAACGGTTACGATTTTGGATCGATTTTAAAAAGCTTGGTGTTATATACATTGGATTTGAGAAGAAGGCGAAAATATGAGATAAGTGATGAGCTCAGCATACAATTTGGTAGTACGAAACAATAATAACTCTAAGTCAATCGATCAGTATCACCTTAGCCAAAATCCAAACACAAATGTTGACCGTCATCCACATATTATTTTATTACGTTTATCTTTTTCCCCGTTCTTGTTTTGTTCAAGTCGAAACCTTTTTTTGAGGAAGCCGTCGCTCTGGCCGGCTGATGGTTACCACATAATAATAATTAATCACTCCTCAGCCTCATGAAGTATATATTTAATTCGCCTTAAAACTTAAAACCATTTGTTTGTTGAGAGTAGTTGAATTATCACATTTCACAATAAAGCAAATAGAACAAAATCATTAATGTCGAATTCTTTCAGTTTCAGTACAAGCTATAGAATCAATATAAACCCACCACTCATGCTCTTTAACAAGTCAGAGGTAGAACTTTCACAAACCAGCTACAGTTAGCACTGTATAAATCCATTAAAATTTCTTTCCCCGTCATCTCCCCTGATATAACCCACCCAGAAAATAAAAAATAAAAATGGAGACGTCTGGGGAAGAGCTCAATCAGCCCATCTTACATTCAAAATCTCCGGCTGCATCTATTTCACGGCAACAATCGGCGGCGGAGCAGGAATGGAGCAAAGAACTCGAACAGATACTGTCGGACATGCAGATGCCAGCGTTCAAGCGTTACCGAGTTGCCACCTGGATCGAACTGAAGCTCCTCTTCTACCTTGCTGCCCCTGCTGTCATCGTATACATGATCAACTATGTTATGTCCATGTCCACCCAGATCTTCTCTGGCCATCTCGGCAACCTCGAACTCGCGGCCGCCTCCCTCGGCAACACCGGTATTCAGATTTTCGCTTACGGTCTCATGGTACTACACATTACCCAAAACCTCTCTCTTTCTCTCTCTCTCTCTCTCTCTGTTACATTATATGATTCATACTCTGGTTTATATAATATACTGTTTCAGTTGGGCATGGGAAGTGCAGTCGAGACGCTGTGTGGGCAGTCATACGGGGCTGGCAAGTATGAAATGCTGGGCATCTATCTCCAGAGATCGACAATTCTGCTTATGGCAACTGGGATTCCACTGGCAGTGATATACATCTTGTCGAAGCCACTGTTGATCTTCCTGGGTGAATCACCGGAGATCGCATCGGCGGCAGCGATGTTCGTCTACGGCCTCATCCCACAGATATTCGCATACGCTGCCAACTTCCCGATACAGAAATTCCTGCAAGCCCAGAGCATAGTGGCCCCCAGCGCATACATATCGACGGTCACGTTGGGGGTGCATCTGCTGCTAAGCTGGTTGGCTGTGTATAAGCTGGGCATGGGGTTATTGGGAGCGTCGTTGATATTGAGTCTGTCGTGGTGGATCATCGTGGGAGCCCAGTTCCTGTACATAGTGATGAACGAAAAGTTTAAGTACACGTGGACAGGCTTCAGCGTGCAAGCTTTCCATGGTTTGCCGGCCTTCCTCAAACTGTCGGTGGCATCGGCGGTGATGCTCTGCTTGGAGACTTGGTACTTTCAGATACTGGTTTTGCTTTCTGGGTTGCTCAAGAATCCTGAGTTGGCGTTGGACTCTCTCTCTATTTGGTAAGACGACAAATGAGCTCGATCGCATTATTCTTCCTTTACAGCCGATCGGTCTGATTGTCAACCATTAATTGATTTCTAAATTAAGCAAAACGCGATTGGTATGTGCAGCACGACGGTTTCTGGATGGGTGTTCATGATTTCAGTCGGCTTCAACGCAGCTGCAAGGTGAGTGAATTAGTTTTACTTTTAATTAATAGTAAAGGGAAATACGAGATAAAGATTCCGTCAGAAAATTAATTAACTAGAACCAGTTAATTTAATCGAGGTGTTAATTAATGTAATAATGGTGAATCTGAGTGACGCAGTGTTCGGGTAAGCAACGAACTGGGTGCCGGAAATCCGAAGGCGGCAGCATTCTCAGTATTGATAGTTACTTCGTTGTCATTCATAATATCGGTGGTGGCGGCCATAATCGTCCTCCTTCTACGGCATGTTATCAGCTACGCCTTCACCGACGGTGAAAGGGTGGCCAATGCCGTCTCCGACTTGTGCCCGCTGCTGGCCATCACCCTCATCCTCAACGGGGTCCAACCCGTGCTATCAGGTAGCTAGCTACCATCCATCTCTATCCACTTTCCATCGTTCAAACGCTATTAATCAGAGATTAGAGAGAGAGATCAGAGACGTGATGAATTTGGCTTTGCCAACCACACATTGACTTGCCGTAATTGTTTTATATTTCATAAAAGGGTAAATTACAAACATCCCTAAACTTTCACTTTGTGACAAATTAGATAATACTCTATGTTCATCAGCTGTTTTAACATTTTCTAAAATCCCCAAATTACCTTTTATTATTTATTTGAGTGATTTACTATTCAATTGATTTTTAAAATATAATATTGAAATCTTCTTAGTTCCGTGCTCCAAAAGATTCTTGCAGATTTTTTGGCTAGGTTTAATATTTAAATGAAATTGTAGAAGGCTTCATTTTGTTTTTTCTTGATTTTTTATAGAAAGGAGTGGATAACTTTTTTTATATTTTAAGATGAAGTGATGCATTTTTTTATCTAAACAAAATGAAATGAAAATTTAAAGATACCTGTTTTTCTATATCAGTGAAACGATTCTTGTTATTTTAGTTAGTCTGATCTAAAAAAAATAAAAATAAATAAATAAAGGTATTTTTGGATCAATTAGAATGGGCATTTTAATAATTTAACACATTCTATAGTCTGAATTAACGGTTTAAGTTTAGGCATCTTTGTGTTAAATAAAAGAATACGATAATTACAATAGTACGCCCCACAGGCGCCTCACATGTACATCTCAGCGTGGAGTAGGAACACCTCCCCTACTTGCTATTGAGAACACCGTTGGGATGTGCTGTGGGGGCCGATGTGAATTCAAATAGTACAGTATCCTTGTAATTTACCCAACTCACTGTCTGACCCCACCCACATTTTGCTTAGTCCACGAAGAGATGCAGAAAGAAACTGTTTTGGCTTTATCTTCTGGTAGCTGTAGGGTGTCTTCTGCTTTGCAAGCTGAAGCCCAAGCTGTTTTTGAAGTTTTAAAGTTGGCAATCTCTCAAAGGTTCAGTTCTTTTGTTATATAGAAAGTGGTTGTTAAAACTTTGGTTTACTCTTTAACTAAGGAAGACTTTGTCTGCCCTGTTGATATTTACTTTGTTGTAAGAGATCGATATCTTAGCTCTGGCTCAAGGGCAGTGCTGCAACTCTGTTTTCTTTTTTTGCTCTTAGATCTGCAAATTAGGTAGCTTATACAACTGCCGCTCATGGAAGATCAGGTTCTTCTCTGTTCTTTGAAAATTTCCCTCAGTGCGCCCTTACTACTCTGGAATAAGAGAATCCGGTGTCTGAAGGAGGTTAACGGATTTGGTTTTAAGCTCTTTTATTTTATTTTATTTTTTCTTTTCTGCCTTTCTCTCCTTGTAGTGTTTGGCTTTTCGCTGTGTCTTTTTTGTATTGAATGAATCATCCTTTTCACCAAAAACAAAAAAAAACTCAGCCTGACTGACTCCGGATTAGCTGCAGACAAGAGTGCATACACCGGGTTGGGCTAACCGTGTTCACTCGAAATAGGTAACTCAGCCCGATGTCTACAATCTTTGTCTCCAGCCTTCGATTTCAATAGTACCAAGAAAAAGATAATCGAATCTTTCAGTGTTCTCAGTTACTTTATTAATATTTGTCTTTTGGCAGAAAACAAATTAAATTATGAATAGAGAACAATTAAAATATCATGCACGGCTGCTGATTCCACGGCAGCGGTCACGATGGATGAATAGTATGATCCCAACCTTTGTCCCAAAATTTTGAAAAGCCAGTAAGCGACGATGATGAACAGAGGGTTACTACTTGTATTCCATATTCAATCGAATCTCTGTTTTTCTGTCACTCTGTTTATGTCGAGACCGGATCTGCTTCTTACACAGGGCGCTTCATTCGCGCCTCACATGCACATCGTACCATGCATTGGAAACATCTCTCTTATTTATAAGTTATTATTCACGGGAAATGTTTTAATGCAGTGTGAGGACTAGATCCCGTTCCCTTTATCTCTGATATTTATTATATTTTGTTGGATTGGATTGGATCGGATCGGATCGGTAGGTGTGGCGGTTGGATGTGGATGGCAAGCTTTTGTTGCATATGTGAACGTGGGATGTTACTATGTGGTTGGGGTCCCCGTGGGGGTTCTACTCGGTTTTAAATTCGATCTGGGTGCTAAGGTAATTTCTTCTTTATTTAAATTAATTAAAGTGATGTTTTTTGGTATTAGACCTAGCAATTGGGTTTGGTGGGTCGGGTTGCTTTTCGGATTGGATTGTTTAATGCTAGACCCTAACCCTAAATGTTCGGGTTAGGATTGACCCATGGGTCAATTTGGATCATCCCAAAAAATAACTAAATTTAAAAATAAATAAAGAAAAACTACATGAAAAATGTCAAAATTAAAGGAGTTAACCTTAAAATTCCATATAAAAAAACTTGAACATCTAAAAATTTAAAGAGTAAACAATAAAGAGTAAAGATTAAATAGAAAAAATTAAAGAGTGGAAACTTCTAAAAATGCATAAATAAATAGTCTCAATTAGACTTGACAATCGGGTCAACGGGTTGACCCATAACCCAACCCAACCCAGTTTTTTCTAGGTCGAGTTGGGTTAGGTCATTCTCACATTCAGGTAACTAAATATGAGACCCTAACCCTATTTTTTTTGGGTTGGGTTGGGTCAAGTTCGCAAGTTGGGTCAACTTTTTGCTAGGTCTATTTGGTATCCAATACTGAGAATTGGGATCTGCTACTCACACATGACGCCTCACACTGACTTACATCTCACCATGCATTGGGAATATCTCCCATGAATAATAACGTTTAACTATGGGAGATGTTTCTAATGCATACTGGGATATGCATGTGAGGTCGGTGTGAGGCGCCCTGCGTGAGGAGCAGATTCAATCTCCAATACTGATTTCTTAAAAACAAATGCCATGTTGGAGTTACCTCAGCGTTGGAGGAATTCGCATTGAAATTTCTGTTTGATTGGTTGGTTATAGTATATGTTTGGCATTGATGCTGCTGATGTGTGAGTTGGAGCAACAACAACTTTTTCTATTTAGTACCAATGCTCCAGAAAATGTTTTCAGCACTGGTACCCATTATGTAGTGCCACACCACTGCCACCTCACATCCCTGTTGGCAACAATGAGCTACAACTCCAGGAAATGCCAAATTTGGCGTTGCTCCAAGCCATACCTTCCCGATTAACGAGGCATGGCTTGGAGCACCATTTTATGTAAAAACAGTTCCAAACAAATGCTCATTTCCTGGAGCACCGTTTTTTTCTGACATAGCGCTGATGTGGCACCGTTTTCTGGAGCAATGGCAACGATGCAAAATAAACGCTTAGTGATTTTGAAAAAATCTGTCAAAAATCGATTTTTGAAATTAACCCTTTTCAGATATTACATTTTTTTTGTGATTTCCTTATTTCTAATTAATTCTGATTTTTTAAGAATGACAGCATCTAATATGGCATTGGATAATAACTCTGATACAAAAATAATTAATCCTTGAGAATCAGTACCAAATAGACGAAAAGCCCATTTCTCAAAAATCAACTTACATGACGGAAATGGTACCAAATAACAAATTTTTGAAAAAGAAAAAAAAAACACTGAATGGGCATTATAGACTTATCTGGACGCTGCAAAGTCCCACCCTATTTCTGTCATGTCCACAAATGATGTGGCTAATCCATACCATCCATTATATTCTGAATTTTCCACATAAGCTAATTAGCTGGGTTTAAGTGCCCTTACAGCCCAGCAATTCTTGCTGGGCTGGGCAACCAAGCGGGGCCGTCATTGTTGGCAGTCCGATCTACTTCTATATGAGTAATATGAGTTAAGCTGTAGGAGATGATTTAATTTGTCTATTTTTTTCTTTCTTTTTTTATGATCCGTCCGATATATATAATAACAAAAGAAGGTTGGGTTTGTTGTAGGGTATTTGGTCTGGAATGATCGGCGGCACCACAGTCCAAACTCTCATTTTGATTTGGGTTACGTACCGGACAAACTGGAATAAAGAGGTAACTTTTTCTTTGAAAAAAGAAACTAGGAGAATAATTCCCCTTTGGTAGGTAGAATATTAGAAGGAGAAGCATGTAGTACCCCACACAATTCTTACTTCACAGACGATACGATTAAGGTTGGGTGTTTGATAGTCTTTTCTTTTAATAAATATTTAAATATGTATTTTTATGAAAGTACTTTTATAAAAGTGTTTTTATAAGAATATTTTTTTAAAAGTGTTTTCGTAAAAATACTTCTTAAAAGTATTTTTATGTATAAAAGTACTTTCTTAAAAGTGATTTCATAAAAGTACTTTTATAAAATCCAATTAGGGATAATTTTATAAGTGGTATTTTAAAATTCAATTGGGGATAATTTTGGAAGAAAAATTGAATATGTGCTTATTGTATAAACACTTAAAAAATGTTGGAAATTTAGGCTTAAAAAATAAGACTTGTTTTTTAAATAAACACTTATTTTTAAGCACTCCCAAACATGGCCCAAAGAAAAATGCCAACAATAGTTACATCTGGTCCAAACCCAGGAAAAAAGAAATGGAATTAAATTGAAATTAGAAGAAAGTTTGGTAGTCAGCAACCTCAAAATTCCTAAATACATTATGAGATCACATTTGTGCTCCACAGAGTGCGCCCCACCAGCACCTCATAGCACATCCCAACAGTGTATTGGGAACATCGCCCAATGACAAATATGTGAGATGCTACCAATGCTTGCGCAGATGTAAACTCCTACATTGCCTGCATCTCCTACCACTGTAGGTTAAAGAATATTAAGGCAGGACCAAACAAACTACTCAGGATATTAGGCTGATAGTGAGCATGGGTTGGTTTGGTTCAGCTTCATGTGATAGAATTTGAAACCCTGTTCTTTCTTTATTCTCCCCCTTTAAAAAATGGCATGTCCTTTAAAAACTTAATTTTCAATAAATATAATATATAGTTTAAAACATATATAATCTTTATTGATTAAATTGAGTAATGTAATATGTAGATTAAAATATGGTTCAAAATTTATCATTATAATTTAAATTTTGTAAATATTACTTTTTACATTACTTAGTATACACATTCAAATATTAAATGAAAACAAATAATAAAATCACTTAATTAACTCAATGGTCAAGTGAGACTATGGCTTTGTATCCATGAGTGCTTGGGTTTAAATCTTTATATCCTCAAAAGTATTTTGGGGTTTATTTCAAGATAGGCTCAGTTCCAAAGCCAGTTTCACCAAGGCCAATCAATGCCAATTCATCATGTTGGTTTGGGTAGGGTAAATCCCTAGAACCGGCCTGGGTGAAGTCAATTCCAATAATTTAAAACCAAACCCTACCTTATAACAAATTAGGTAGGGTCAATTCAAAGCCAGTTTGGGATCAATTCCAATTGGTTTCAAGTAAAACCTACCTACTTACCCTTAGATATGGGTATCAAGTTAACTCAATATAGAATTAGACCAGTCCATCGTTAATCTAAGGTTGTTTATGGTTCAGTAGAGCAATAGAATTATGTCAGTCTATTTTCGTGAACAAGCGTTTTAATGATGATTGCATTTTGAGATGGATTCAGGTGGAGGAAGCCATGAAACGATTAGAGACATGGGACGAAAAGAAAGAGCCGCTGTTGAAAGATTAAACAAGATTCTGAATGATGGGTGAATATCGGATATTTATTGTTAGTGATGGCAATCATCTTATTCTACTGGTGCTCGAGAGCTTCCAGAAAAATTATCGGTAGATATTCATTTCACGCTTCATTAATTCAGTCAATTGTGCTCATTAATTGGACGACATCAGCTGATCTACTCACTGGTGTATTACATTCGCTTTTAGTTCTATGTTTCTATGTTATGTTCTTTATTTAAAAAATAAAAATTAAAAAAAGGGTGTTCATCTTTTGGATTTTGCGAGGGGGGAAGTTAGTCAATGGGAGTTTGATTCCTATTGACTAAGAATCCTATGTTCTTTTTTCAGATTTATATGGAGATCAGGGAAAGTTTATTTTCCTGAGTATTATTTATCTACATAAATGATACCCATTTCCTACGTGGGTAAATAACTTTTCCACCTTGGGGAAAGTTGCCAATACTTGAATGGGACAAAAATGTCCCTTGTAATAATGGATTTTTATGACTAAAATAATCATTGTCTTATTTACATGGGAAATAAAAGAACATGGGTAAATGCACTTACCTGGACAAGTCTTTCTTGAGAAACACTACCTGAGTAAGTGCATTTACTCTGGTAAGTAATTTACCGAAAAGCAAACGGGGCCGAAGAGGGGTTACACAAGACTGGAGAGGGGGGTTGTCACGTCCTCAAATGTCAGCATACGATAAAGCTCTTAAAGAACTGGGAAGAGAAGGAAGGGATACATCATTGGAATGAGAAAAATTCGCAAGCCAATCAGCCACTTGATTACTTTCCCGATAGGTGTGACAATATGCAACATCGCCATCAACCCTCTCAATTAATCTCCATGGAGGTTTTATACAGTTCTTCAAACTGTCGATAACCAACTTAGAATCCCCCACAATTGTGATGGATTTTCTATTGAAGTTGGGGGCAAGATTATGGGCTTCCTAAGCAGCCCATACTTCAGCTAGATTAATAACCGTAAATCTAACTTCATAAGCTTTGAAGTTTAAAATCTAGCCTAGGTGATTTTTGGCCACATAAGCAATAAAACAACAATTGTTTCTGCAAGAAGCATCAAAATTAAACCAGTTTCGAACTCTATCAAGATTATCCACTTGATTGGGTACACTGCTTAGCATATTCATTGTTTGAATCACTATCAAGACCCGAAACAGCCTCAATAAACGAGTTTCAAACTCTTATCAATGTGTTCCGAGCTCTATGTTATGTTCATTACCTATTTGGCTGCACCATTCAACTGATACAAGAATTCTCATCCTGTTATAACGATTTGTATAGGATTTATCACAAGCCATGTATCAAGGTGTTGTATCATTTTATACCTGAACTGAATGTAGCATCTAGAACGTTGGCAATGCTTTAGTTTCAGTGTCAATTTATCTGTGTCCAAGAGCGTTAGAACCTATCATATATCAGCCGTATCAATCAATACTCAACCATTACCAACTGATAATTATCATAAATTGATGCTTGACTATAACAAATTTGCATAAAGAAGGCCATTTGCATTACTACTAAGATCTGAAGAAAGAGCCTGGGGCGTTCCAAAAAGGGAATGAATTGAAATAGTGAGAAATGAACCAAAAGCCCATGAAAAAAATTTATCATGGGTATAGCACCAAATAGGATGGAACTAGTTAGCAGGGACCCGTGCAATGTATAGACTTTGTTAAGAGAAAGTTAAATAATAGAAATATGTAAGAATAGGCAATTGTTTAGTTTTTAAATACTTAATAATTATTTATATTTTAAATACTATTTTTAATAATTATTTTGTAATATAAAAATAACAATAATTAATTTCAGTTAGGGTTGTTCATAAATCGATGAAATTGACCAAACTGACCCAATTCGACCTAAGTTGGTCACTTTCTAGTATTTTCGGTTGACTTCGATTCAACAATTTCCCAACCCAACCAAGTCGGGTTAGTTTTGGTTTGGCCATTTGCAAACCAACCAAAATCGAACCATTACCCTAACTTGATTATGGGTCTAGTTTTATTGAAACTTGCCCTTCGGTCAAAACCGTTGACTTGGTAAAAAATCGCCCAACTCAGATAGTTCAATTGTTGACCTATTTGACCTAGTCATTGGGTTGCGAGTTGCATACTTAATGCATGTGCAAACTTTTAGAGGCCATAACTTTGCACACTGATGTCCGACTATGGTGATCTTTTGTTTTTTTTTTTGTTTTTTATTTTGGGTAACTTTTCAAGATCGATGTGTCCCAAAGGTTCCATAGGTGCCTTGCCCCATTATGTTTGCGAAAAAAAGCCCCTTTTAGACCTTAAATCATAATTTTAACAATTTTTATGAACAAAATAAAGTAAAACTGAATTAAAAAATATAAATAAAATATAAAATAATACATATATTATATGTAAAACATAATTATACACTATTTATTGATAAAATATGTATTTGCACACATATATACATATATGTACATTTATATATAGAATGTTGACGTGGAATGGTCTGACCAGTTTGACCCAGACGATTGAACTGGTGACCGCAACCCTGATGCAAAAGCAATTCAGTCTTCGGGCTGGTTTTTAAAACATTAACCTATACAAATCAAGTTGGTCAGTTTTCACTAATGGTTAGTCAATTTCAAGTGACCAACTCCCCAACCCAACCAAATTAATTTGGCTGGCCAAACAATCTACAACCGAACTGGGCTGCCTAGTGAAATATTCCTAATTTCAGCTAAATTAATAGTCTAATCTCTAACAAATAACAATAGTTTAATCTCCAATAACTGTTGAAATTTATAGCAAAAAAATACACAACTAATGAAAATCGATTTATAACGAAAATATAATAAACAAATAATAAAAAGTTTCAATACTTCTAAGTTATTTAATCTACTTTCACTATTTCAATAATATTTAAATTTTTTTCAATTATTTATATTTTATATTCTTATTATCAAATATTATTAAGTATATTATAATTAATTTTGTGTTTTTGATAAATTTTTTAATCTATTTTTTTAGATAACATTTAAAATATGATTTAATTTTAACTTTTTTATATTTAAAATTAGTTATTTATAATATTATTTAGTTATTTTTAAAATTATTTTGTATTTTTGATAATTTTTTATAGTTATTACATAATTTCATTATTTTAACTATTTCAAATTTAGTTATGTTAATATTTTATTATTTAAACATTTAAATAAAGTTATTACATAATTTTATTATAATATTTAAATAATTGTTATACTTTTTTAATTGAAACTTTTTTAGATAGATATAGATAAAAAGTGGAAGAAAGGATAAATAGGAATTAGAGATAATTTAGGAGATAAATAAGAATTAGAAATAGTTAGAGATAATTTAGGAGAAAGTGGGGGATAATTAGTTTCCTAATAAAAATGAGAGGAAAAAGGGAGATAAACCATGCTAGGTGGAAACTCCATGGGCTTCTAGAGAGAATCTTACACCCCTCTAGAATTGCTCGATTTGGGTAATGGAGCACAAAGAGACCATCATCTGATGTGGCATAACATTGATTCAGTATATAGATAGATAGATGGATAGATAGATAGATAGATAGATAGATAGATAGATAGATAGATGACAACAAGATTCTTGCATCCGATCCCATGTAAACTACATAATTGAAAAAATTTAAATGAAACTAATGAGTTTAAAATTGTGATAAACAGATAAACACATGCTCTACCACTTCACCATTACAAATCCATACTCAACTATCACAAACGGAAATTTTTTTATATGTACAAACTGATACTCAACTGATACATATTGTTACAAACTCATATTCAATCATTATAATCCAATATACAGACCCTTAACCATTGCAAACAATGTTCAACCTTACAAACTCATATTCAAGCATTACAAAGCAATACACTATCGACTTCAAATTAAAATTACTTATTGATGGGAAAATCTATGATGAATTCAAATTAAAATAATTGATGGGAAAATCTATGATGTTGGAAAGACATGATACCAGAAAGCATAGTTTTGAAAACTGGACTGGATCAGATGGTCGGACCAATTGACCTAGGAACTGTCCAGGTAATCAATTCCGTTTCACTCTAAAACCACTTTTTGGCCAAAAATCATTTGACTTAGTCAGCAACCTGTTGAACCGGGTGGTCAAACCGTCAACCCATTGACCCAGGCAAAGATATTTGATTATTTTTTATTTTTTAAAATCAAAACGAACTCTGTTCAAACCGGATGGTCAGACCATTTGACCCCAGAACCAGTTGCCAAAACAGTTCCGTGTCCAGTCCAGTTTTTAAAACCTTACTGGAAAGGCTGTAATTAAAACAATTTCTACGACTCAAAAGGATAAACCACCCAAATGGAAGAAAAAGACTCTTACCACCAAGCTATACTACCACAATGTGTTAAAATGAACCTGCATTACGATTTAATTAATTTTCTAATCATTTTTATCAACTTTTTCTTATTAATACTTTATTTATAGTCATTTGAGACCTATATTTGCTTCTATTGGCATATTTTTGCTATTTATTCAAGTTTCCATTTATCCACATATCTTAGGCCCTGTTTGGTTCGCAGGAATAGGAGTCTGGAATGGGAATCTCATTCCAATTTCTGCTGAAATGGCATTCCCCCATTTGAGGGAATGGCCATTCTCTACCCCTCCCTTGGGAATGAAATCCCATTCATGCTGATTTTAATTCTCATTCTCATTTCTGTCTGAACCAAACAGACTATGAGAATGAACCATTCCGATTTCGATTTCAATTCCAACTGCAAATCAAACGGACACTTAATTTTTTCCCATATACTGCATACAAAACCTATCCCAACATATCTATGTTATTATAAAGTAGATATTTACTTTACAAAACCTATCCCAATATATCTATAATATTATAAAGTAGATATTTACTTTAGTTTTAGTGTAGGTCATAATAGCTTTGATTGTATAACCTCAGCTTATATCTGACCTGTCTCTTAAAATTTCCTTTCTTATACACTTTCCAATAAGGATATCTTCAAGTTTCAACCTTGTATGTATATTGGGTGGGACCGTGGGGGGACCAAACAATGGCAAGAACAAGATGAGGTAGTCAATCAACGTTACAGAAGCTGCCAAAGCTAAAAAAGCTCTTGAATTAAAAAGCTGGACATCTAATTAGACCATTCGCATTTGGAACAGTCACAATGGCCGAAACATTTGTCTAATCTTATCTAATACAAAGGATCTATCTTATCCTGTGGATCTGAACAATTAGCATCATCCATGCATCTTCTATGTTATGACCAAATTCCATTAATGAAAATATGCTTAATCAGCCCAGATTAGCTCCATAATAATCCAGAACTCAAAAGAAAACCAAAATAAGGTGAAAAGAAGCCCCTCTAAAATAGCTTATCTAAGATCAATTCATTAATTTAATTTGTGTTGTTTGTCTTGTATTGAAAACCCAACAAGGGGTCAATATTTTTGATACAACAGAATACTGTTTAACTTGACATTTCCTCTATGAAACAAGTTAATCACAAGAATATGATCGATCCGATACCCTATACCTAATTCCAACCATGATAGATTAGTACAAAAGGACGGACAGCATTGGAACATTGCACGACCCATACTATATTATGATTATACGATTATGGACGAAAGAAGAGGCCTTTATAGGAATGAACAAGGCCCAGGGCCGTATCTTGACCATTTTGGATCTGGACCAATTGTTTACAAAAATATAATAATCAAAAGAGATGGGAGAAAACTGTGAGATCTCTAAACCTGTCAGCAAGCACAAATAACGCAAACAAGCTCCATGCCCGTTGAACATCCACTTCAATCTGTCTGCATTTTATCAATTGGCTGATCAGGGGCCATGGTGTTATCTGGTCTTGGAGGAGAAGTTCTAGATTTTAGTATATGTTTGCACATCCTGAAATATATAGAGTTAAACTTCATCACATTGAAGAAAATGAGACAAGGGAAGATATAATGACAACAATAACACTATAATAATTGTGGCTGCTATAGGATCCTGGAAGCACAAGCCAGTATTGCAGATCAATGGTTCCACCTAGACCTGTCAAAAACTTATCCAACTGAATAATCACCCTATTGGCATCTTTCTATATGGAATACATAGCATCTTCAATCCAGACCATATAATGAAATATGTTAGATGCCCATGACAATCCAATTGGATCAAAGTTTTGGCATAGGGATCTACGTGGACCATGAAATATGGCCCCCAAGGCACCACAGCTATGTTGTCTCAACGCAATAAATCTGATTAGAATTCTTTTGGGCTATTAAAATAGAAGAATTACGCATTTAGTGCCTCCGCCTTTCTCTTAATTTCACTTGACCATAGTATTGGGTCTTCATTCTTTGGTAAAGAGTCCTGCTGTTGAGTTTTCTCCCGTACCCACTGTTCCACTTTGTTACATTCATTAATGATCTGCAAATAAGAATGATTCAGGATAGTTTAGACAGGTATCAAAGTCCCCCCCTCAAGATCATAATCATTATTGTTACAATCATCAAATAATTTGTTTACCATATCTCTTTCATTGGATGCAAGTGATCTCACAGCCATCCGTTTTTCCACAATGCACTTCAGCAAATCCCTTGTAGCCTGTGCTCTGGCTTCTTCATCTTTGTATCGGTTTTCAATAGGATCCACTAGCTATAAGAAACCAAAAGGTCCATATGTCACCAAGGAAAAGAAGCTAGTAGAGTTCAAATTTTTTAGAAGTTTTAGTTACCTTCTTAAGATCTTCCAGCTTGCTTGTGTATACAGTTTCAGATTCATCATCCCCATCCTCATAAAGCCACTCCTCAGTCTGTTGTAGGTTTCTAGAGATGCCTTCCCTCTCCAAATCAGTTGCAAAGCTCCGGTATGTGTTAAAAAGCTATTCAAATACTTTGTGTTATTCTAAAATCCAGAAACATGCATACATACATACATGCATACATACATATATATATAGAGAGAGAGAGAAAGAGAGAGAGAAAACAGATTATTGTATCAAAATCTTCAGATATAAGTATCACATTTATTTCACACAATGAAAATACAAAGGAACTTGTATACTTGGAATAGGTTTGCAAAAGATTCTCTATTATGTCCTTGCATGCTGACTAAAAACAGCTGTAAGGTTAGCAGTGGTGTATGAAGCAGAATGTTGGGCAGTCAAGAAAAAACATGTACAAAAAATGAGTGTGACAGAAATGTGAATGTTGAGATGGATGAGTAGGAAAACTAGCAAGGACAGGATCAGAAATGAACTCATTTAAAGGAACCTGGGAGTAGATCCAATAGGTGATAAAATGATGGAAAGTAGACTAAGATGGTCTAGTCACTTAGAGAGAGACCATCTACAGCACCCATAAGGGCTAGGGAAAGACCAAAAAGGACAACAGTCGTAGTAAGAATTTAAGGACTCAATATATAAAAATGAATATGGCACTGAACTGAACGGAATGGAAAAAACAGGATTCATACAGTCAAATCCATATAGGTGGGACAAGGCTTAGATGATCATGACCAAATAAATATAGATTAGGAGTAATAGAAGGGCCATACAGTACTCAATAGTAATAACTTGTTTAAAAAGATTATACTGAGTTGTCAGGTTGCAATTAGTGTCCAGATGTGCACAGATCAAACCAAATAAATCCTGGTAATGAGACTATGTTTTTAAACCTTAACAACAATAGAGAACTAAGATATCATGATTCTGAATTCATACCTTATTGCGCATCTCATAGACATATGACTCCAGGGCATTCTTTTTATCTTTGGTTTGCTCCATGGTTCTGTCCTGTTGTGCCAACTGAAGTTCTTTTTCTTGAGCTTCCAAGACATCAGCCTTGGTCATCCCACCATATATAGTCTCACTAACTGGCATCTCAAGCCTCTTCAAGAACCTTCCCTTTCTCATTCCATCAGCCTGCTAGCATAATGGTATTGTGAGTGACTTTTACATGTCCAGGTTCATACCATAATCACTTAAACTAGGCTGAGAAAAGTTTCACTCTAACCATAGCATAATCAATAGGGTGTTGTGAGAATGACACATGGAGTTTATTATCATAGAAGGATACATGCACACCATCAAGCTGGAGTTTATTATCATAGAAGATCGTAAAGAAAGGGAGCTGACAATCAAGGCAAGTTTAACAGATATATTTTAAATGAGTCCAGGCACATTGTACTTGACACTACCCAAAAAAGCAAGGTAAAATCTAAGCTTTTGTCCTTTAATAATATGAAAGAAAGACCCATACAGGTGGACTCCAAGAATTCTTTGTAGAGCATTCTTTACATTATAATTAATAAAGTTTGTTTAGTGAGTGATCAAAGAAACAAAGATATGAAGAAAAAACCCAAATTACCCATTAACTACATGGTGAGCTCCAACAGAACTTACAGCAGACATGGGCAAAGTTTCAGGCTGTGAAAAGCAACCATCTTTAGCACCATTTGATACCACATCAGAAGGCCCAGAAACAGACTCAGTGTCAACTTTGGACTGAGTATTGCTCCTTGTAACTGGATCGTCTGCCTGATCTTCAAACAACTACAATAAAATAGATTCATAATGGATTAACAAAATATATCTAAAGATTAATAGAGCTAAAAAATTTAACAAGTAAAAAACAAATTTTCGTACTTACTGATGCTGAATCAATGGTAACTATTCCATGGAGATTTAATTGGACTTTAACCTTGACTTTAGTTTTTTCGGTGTGTGAAACTTGGAAAGGGCCAATCTGCAATAACAGGATATCATCGTTTTAGAATTTAGAAGTGAACATAAAACAATTCAGCATGTATATCTGTCTGTCCGTGTGTATATTAGAGAGAGACAGATAAGCAACAATGAAGATAAGATTAATTCCAGGTCTTGTACAGATTACAGAGGACTCAGGGGGTGGGGAGTAGAAAAGTTTTGATAGCTGTTTCGATATAAACTTTGTGAAAAAGAAGAAACAAGAAGGGAAAAGTTTCTACTAGAAAAGGAAAGAAGAAGAAATAGAAGAGAATGACAGGAAGCCAAAAAAACAGATCTGACCGCCCCTTTCTTTTTAATTTATACTCGTAAAAAAGAGTGTACAAGTACAAGTATGCCCTTAGTAAGTCAGCTACTTGTAAGAAGCTAAAAAACACACTTAACATAAACTAATGGGCCTAAGGCCCAATAACTTCCTAACTAAGTTATGTAAATAAAATAAATAAAGTCGGCCCAATAACACAACACTCCCCCTCAAGTTGGGAATAAATGTCACACATTCCCAACTTACGTAGATCATGCTCCAACTTGTTTCTTGCAACACCTTTTGTAAGAACATCAACAAGCTGCAAATCAGATGCAACATATGGCAAATAAACTTCCCCTGAAGTCACCCTTTCTCTTATAAAATGTATGTCCACTTCAATGTGCTTCGTCCTATCATGCTGAACTGGGTTGTGGGCGATGTTAATTGCTACTTGATTGTCACAGTATAGTATCATAGGTTCTTCTGCCTCAATTCCATCTCCCCTAACAAGGAACAAATCTAGAGGAGCTCTGAAACACCATGTGCCATGTCTCTGTATTCAGCTTCTACACATGACCTTGTCACAATTGTTTGTTTCTTATTCTTCCATGAAACTAGATTAACTCCAACTGTCCAACAAGAGTGCAAACTCCTGATGTAGATCTCCTATCATCTAGACACCCTGCCCAATCAGCATCTGTGTAAGCCTCTAGCTTCAACTGTCCATGGTCAGCAAACAATATGCCTCTACCTGGGTGTCCCTTCAAATAAGAAAGTATCCTGTCAATAGCCTCCTGATGCTGAACTCGTGGGGCATGCATATATTGACTCACCACACTCATTGCATAAGAGATGTCTGGTCGTATCATACATAAGTATAGTAACCACCCCACTAATCTTTGATACCTCCCAATATCCTTCACTAGTTCACCTTCTGAAGCATTTATCCTGTAGTTCTGATCAATAGGTGTATTAGCTGCCTTTGCCCCAAGTTTCCCTATCTCTTATAGTAGATCCAGAACATACTTCCTCGGTGAGATGAAGACTCCATGCTTTGATCTTGCCACCTCAATGCCCAGAAAGTACCTCAACTCCCCAAGATCCTAGCTTTCAAACTCTTTGTGCAGATTCTTCTTCAAAGTATCAATCTCGCTCAGATCATTTCCTGTAACTACAATGTCATCCACATACACTATCAAAACTAACACCAGAAACCCCCTCCTCTTCACAAACAGAGTATAATTTGATTGGGTTTGAGTATAGCCAAAACCAACCAATGCTCTTCTAAACCTGTCAAACCAAGCTCCGGGTGATTGTTTCAAACCATATAGAGACTTCTTTAACCTGCATACCTATCCCTTTTCCACATCATTGTAACAATCAGATGGAAGATCCATATACACCTCTTCTTGCAAGTACCCATTGAGAAAAGCATTCTTCACATCAAGTTGGAAGAGTGGCCAAGAGTATGTAGCTACTAGTGATAGAAGAATCCAGGACTGAGCTCATCTTTGCCACTGGTGCAAAAGTTTCTAAGTAATCTATGCCACAAGTCTGAGTATACCCTTTTGCGACCAGCCTTGCCTTATACCTTTTTATACTCCCATCTGCCTTGTATTCCATTGTATAAATCCATTTGCATCCAACTGTCTCCTTGCGTTCTAGTAGATCCATAATCTCCCACGCCCGATTCTTAATCAAAGCTGCCTTCCACTCAGGTTTGGAGAGAGCCTCACTAACACCCTTGGGTATGGACATGGAGTCGAGGGAGGAAAGGAAGAACCGGTAGGAAAGAGATAGTCCATTGTAGGAGAGATAGTGTGAGATGCAATGAGTAGTACACTTTCTCTTCCCTTTTCTGAGTGCAATAAGAAGGTCAAGGTCATTTGCAATGGGCTTAGTAGTATCAATACGAACTAAACCATCAGAGGAAGCAAGGGGCATACTTGGATCAGTGTCAGTTGAACTTGGAGTCTCTGAGGAGTTGATAAGAAGTGTTGTGGGTTCTTCTGCTATGGAATCAGCCTCCCTATGCAGTCGAAGACACTGTCGTGTAAAACACTATGAAACAGAACGCAAGGGAGGTGGTAAGTGGGTGAAATAGGAGGGTCAGACACTGGGTCATAGCAACAATACTCCTTCTGGTTTCCTACATACCCATGGACAAAGCATACACAATCAAACACCCTTAGAGGAATATGAAACATCTCCCCCTCAGGAAAAAGAAGGCTAAACGGGGTGCTATATCCAAGAACATGAGAAAGCACCCGATTAATCAAGAAAACCGCTATAAGAACTGCATCACCCCAAAAACGAACTGGAACACTAGAGGTCATCATCATGCTTCTTGCAACTCCACAATGTGTCTGTTCTTACTTTCTACTACACCATTCTGATGTAGAGTGTATGAACAACTGCTTTGATGGATTACTCCATGCTCTAATAAGCATGATGCCAAGTTTTTTTTCAAAATATTCATTGGCATTGTCTGATCTAAACACTTTCACTTGTACCCCAAACTGCATTAGCACCATCTGATGAAACTGTCAAACCATAGATGGCACCTCATCATGGGATCTCATCAAATGTAGCCAATAATATCGAGAATAATCATCCACCAACAGAAGGAAATACCAATAACCACCCATAGAGGGAATGTGATATGGCCCCCACACATCAGTATGAATAATATCAAAAGCAGAACAACATCTTTTATTACTAGCTTTAAAGGAGTGTCTAAAATGTTTTCCAAGTTGACAACCTTCACACTCTAAACTGGATAAACTAATAGACTCAAACAACTTCAGAAACAAGAAACACAAAGAAGCAAAAGACAAATGCCCTGACCGATTATGACAAAGCATAATCTGACCCACTAACTCTGACTCAATACCCCTGTTGACATGACTCTGATGACTAGGAAGCGCATCAAGAAGGTAGATTCCATTCACCTCACGACCATTCCCAATCGTCCTCTTTGATTCCAGATCCTGTAAAACACAATAACCAAGAGAGAAAATCACTGAACAATTCAAATTCTTTGTCAAACTACTAACAGAAAAAAGGTTAGTACTCAGTCTAGGAACATGGAGGACAAAGGGTAGGGAAATAGTATCGGTTATCTTGACAGACCCTTTCCCAACAAATGGGAACATGTGATCCATCAACTGTGAAAACTCTATCTCTGCTAGAGCAGAGGTGGTATGAGGAGAAAATGGTGGAAATGTTGGTCATATGCTCTAGGCTCCTGAATCTATAATCCAAGGGGGTCTCTCCTTACCTCTAATGGAATCATAGTTTGCAGTGGCATGTGAACTACCTGTATGTGCAAAAGAAGTAGAATGGCTACCTCTTGATCCACCTATACCTTGTTGTCCACTTGATAATGGGTTAGGGATGACTGTATCTCTCTGATTTAGTAACTGCCCATATCTCTCCAATTCGGCCTTCACTACACCTGCTGCAACAGACTCTGGGAAGCTGTAGTAGGTGGTCCTGATAAGTCACCAGTCACTGCCATTTTCACATTTCCCTTCTTGTTTCTGAGTCAAATCGGCACAAGGTTAGGGTAAAGCTTCCAACAGGTATCTCTAGTATGTTTAGGCTTCTTACAATAGTTACAGGTCAGATCCTTCTTATCTTCCTTCCTAAGTTCATTTCCACCCTTGTCTCCACTCTGCTTAGGTTTCACTATGCTAACCATAGCTGACTACTCAAGACCTGGGTTCCTCATCATCACATTCCTCCTATTCTCCTCTCCTGACACAAAGGCATATGCCTGAGAGAGAGTTACACTATCTCTGGAAAGAATATGTTGTCATGCAATGTCATACTCGGGGTTAAATCCAGCTAGAAACTCAAAAACCCTATTCTTCTCTACCAATTTCTGATAAGTTGTTGCATCCTTGCTACTTTCCCAAACCATAGTCTCCAAATGATCTATCTCCTGCCATAAGGTTTTGCGGGCTGAAAAATAAATAACAACAAATTTATCTCCTTGTCTGGTGGGAATTACCTGGTTTCTCAACTGATAAGCTCTAGCAACATTCTCATTCTGTGAATAGGTTTCTGCAACTCCATCCCAAATCTCCTTAGTTGTGTTAGCCCATAAAAAATTTTTACTTATATGGGGCAACATGGAATTGCATAGCCAAGTCATTACCATATAGTTCTCCTGTACCCATCGGGAGTAGTTAGTTTCGGGTTTCTTTTCCTCACCAGTGACATACCCCAATTTCCCATGAGCATCAATGGCCATCTTTGCAGATTGTGACCACTCTAAGTAGTTTGTAACATCTAACTTAACTATAGTGATGGTCCCAGCCCCGAAGAGGTCTCCAACACCTCCTTCCCCTTGTCTCATTTCACTTCCCAGTTTGTTTTCAACTCCACAGCCCTCCATAACTCCCAAAAAGGGTTAGGAAATCAACTTGAGATGAAAAAAGAGGTATTTATCTCCTTCGGACACCTCAAACACCCTTCTGGTACCCTAGAAGTTCCTCCCTTTAAAGATTCCTTTTTCTGTGGGAGCGGGAAAAGAGAGAGAAGAGGTTGTCGCTCCCTCCAAAGGCCTCCAAAAAAGGTGGGACTTGAACCGCCCCCTACAGAAAACTTCAAGGAACCCTAGAAAACTAGGGTGCCACTTCCTAGGTCAAAATTGAAGAGTCCTACTAAAACAAGACTCTCTCCCCTTTCTCCAGTTCTTCCTGATTTTGGTGTACAACCCTATACCAGCTACAAGGGATTGCAATTCCACCAAAAAATCCAAAAACTAGGCTTACCTGAGGTCTTCGATCAGCCCTTCACCTCATCATGCAGTCGGCCGATCTAGGGCTGCATGATGGAGCAGCTCAAGAAGTCTTTAAACTTGCTATGATACCAAGTAGAAAAGTTTTGATGGCTGTTTTGATATAAACTTTGTGAAAAAGAAGAAAGAAGAAGGGCAAAGTTTCTGCTAGAAAAGAAAAGAAGAAATAGAAGAGAATGAGAGGAAGCCAAAAAAATCAGATCTGGTCACCCCTTTCTTTTTAATTATATACTCATAAAAAAAAGTGTAAAAGTACAAGTATGCCCTTAGTAAGTCGGCAACTTGTAAAAAGCTAAAAAACACACTTAACATAAACTAATGGGCCTAAGGACCAGTAACTTCCTAACTAAGTTATGTAAATAAAAATAAATAAAGTTGGCCCAATAACTCAACAGGACAGGGCAGGGTGCATATTAGGTCCACTGACCATGTCACAGAGAGCCTGCAGTTCCACAGGCTTGGTCCTGTCCCTCCTTTTTTGGAGGGACACCAAATGACCATCTTAACTACTGGGTTCCCCAGTAGTTCTCCAGGTCTTTTGTGTGATGCACAAAAGACTTTTCCTCATGACTCGTGAGGCAGGCTGGCAACTTCTAAGGGGATAAGACTTTTCATTTGTCAAAGTCCAACAAGCTGGCAACTTCTTAGAGGATAAGACTTTCATATATCAAAGTCCAAAATATGGGTATGCTGATGGGTACTAACAAATATGATGATACTATACATTCAGTTTCATTTATCAAATTCTTTTGACATTTATCATGGTACCTATCAAATTCTTAGTATTAGGAGTAAGATGTTCAACAGCTAAAGAGAGATAAAAACAAGAGTTCAAATAACAGGGAAAATAGTATTACAAAGGTGCCAATGCACCATCAGGCAGCATTGTTGATAATAGCATGTTGAAGTGTACGGGTGTCATGTCTCATAATAACTAAAACAGTCTCCAAGGTCCACCATATTTCTGTGAATAACAGAACAAAGTGCAGCCTGACAAAAAGGGAAATGATATATAGAAGTGCCCCTCAAGAACCTATGGAGTGTAGGAATCCAGTACATGTCTCACACAAACACTTCATCCATTTAGGAGTGCTACAAAAGAAAAGAACATTCTTTTATGGACACAAACAGTGTGAATAAAAAGCACATTCAAGGGAAGGCATACCTTGAAACAGCTAATCTTTGGAGAAGTACCAGGAGGGAGTTCACTTTGATCACCATAAAATGCTTCTAGATGAAACATATTAGTTCGGTGGCATGAAAGTATTTTAACACTTGGGATGGATTGTCCTTTTGGAAACAAAATTCCATTTGTCAGTATGTGAATCGGGCCTTCATCCGATGAAAACCCTATGGAGAATGGAAAGGAATCTTGGACCTGCAAATACATATGCTACATTAGCATTTATGCAGTCAGTGCAAAGGCTAAAAGACAAGAATAGAAAAAATCAAGATTCAATTGACAGAGCTAAGTTTCTAGGTTACAAGTAAAAGGTTTGCCATCATATAATCTGTACGTTATGATTTCATTATTTCCAATATGTTGGGTATTATACTTTTTTTTTATAAATGGTATTATACTTTTAATAGTAGAATTTATTTTTCTCACATGAATACAAAAAAGGCTCCAAGTGGATTGGGACAAGAGAAGTAGGGATGAGTATTCAGCTAGGCTGGTCCACCTAGCCTGGCTAGTCAGAAACAAGGCCTGGGCAAAAATATAGGCCTAAAGTTGAGTTTGAGCTAGGCCTTGGTAAAACTTAGCCCATCCAAAAGATCCAAGGTAGCATGTATCATCATCATCTAAGCCTTGTCCCAACTATACAGGGTCAGCTACATGACTTTTGTTTTGCCATTCTGTTCTGTTTGGTGCCATATCCATTGTTAAATTATGAACACAATAAGGTATAGTAAATGCCCTACATAGTCGGGCTGGATTTGGGTCGAGCACCTTGGGCTGAGCTTGGGCCCAGATAATCCAAGTACTAAGCATGTAGTGTGGACTGGCTCCAGGTCTTCCAAAGTCCTGCTCAGTGCTCACCCCTACAAATAAGGTATAGTAAATACATTGTTCTATTTCAGTTGTCACTACACGATTTTTTAGAACTTCAATAACTCAATCATATTTTTCTACAAGAATACATGGGCCTAGCAGGGGCAGAGCTAAGGTGAATGAGGTTTGAAAAATTCTAAATGGGTTACCACTACTAGAAGAATAGGCCCCAAATCCCCTTTTATACAAAATACACCCCACCCCCAAATCTTTTCGTGGTCTAAATTAGGGGGTGCTCATCAAAAATTGAAAAACTGAACCAAACCGACGAAACTGAACTAAAAATTCCGGTTTAGTTTCAGTTAACCAATATGAAAAACCAGCGATTAATATTTTGTATTATCTATATATTATAAATAAATATATATGCATTATATAAATATATATTTATTTATAATATATAATATATTATTTATTATTTTATATGTATTTCAAGTATTTATACTATATACTTATATATTTATTTATAATATATTATAAACATCAAAAAAACCAAACCGATCAACCAGTTAACCAGTTGGTTTCAGTTCATGATTTTCCAAAAGCCGACGTACCTGTTCAGTTTGGAAAATAGGCCCACAGTTGGGTTAACCAAACTGTGAGCATCCCTACTCTAAAGAACAATGTTCTATTAATTATAGACCTAATATATGATATGACTGAAAGATACAAAATAGGAAACAATACTCTAAACTAGTCCTACTTTAGAATGGAAGACAAAAATGAAAAATCTAATGCTAAAACATTCTTTATCTTCTATGATGAAAATAAACAGTAACTGAAGAGAGAATTCATTAAATACGGCCCCTGATGGGCTAACCTCAGCTACCTACCCATCAAGCTTTCCCATCATTACATTACATACATAAATATGCAATTTACACTGTATTCATCACCCCCAGAAGAGAGCAGTCTTATTGACCCCCATTTTGGCTAAGCCATCCGGCCAGAGCATTAGCAGATCTAGGTGTCCACACTAAAGAGCAGTTCAAACATGACATTAAGAGCTGAGTCTCTCTGAAGGTATGTTTGAATCTCCATACTCCTTTCTTATTTCCATTCAACAGTCTATGATATGGTTGAGATCCAGGAGTGGTAGAATATGGTATCCCATTTCTGATATGGTTCTCATGATACTCCAACTTGTATTCTGGCTGCGTCAACATTGTTGAGATACTTGATAATCTTTTTGTAAACAGTATCTGTATAGGGCTGGTGGTATAGTGGTTTTTTGTATACACACAATTTACAGCCTCTAATTGTACTTGATTTTTTGAATCAATTATACTTTACCTTTTTTCAAAAAAAAAAAAAAAAAAAACAGTATTAGCACTGAACAACTCTGCCGCATTGGATACTTAATTAGGTCTTGAGACCATCTAACACATATCAGTATCTTTCCCATGAAATGAGCAAGACTATCTCTTCTTAAGACCATCTAATTCCCAAAAAGAAAGGGACAGTGGGTTTGAAAGATTTCAGACAAATAAGCCTTGTTAGCAGTGTCTATAAAGTGCTTGCAAAGGTGTTAGTTAAAAGAATGAGAGGGGTGATGGGTAAACTAATATCAGAATCTCAGGGAGCTTTCGTAGATGGGAGGCAAATTATCGATGGCGTTCTAGTGGCAAATAAACTCATTGACTCCAAAAGAAGAAGTGAGGGACAGTGTTTTAAAAGCGCAAGGCGCAAAAAAAGCGCAAGTGCCATTTTGCGCCTGAGGCACAAGGTGCAAGGCAAGGCGCGCGCCTTTTTGAGGCAAGGCGCACAATTTAAAAGAAATGCAAAAAACTCGAAAAAAATGCAAAAAAATCAAAAAATTATAAAGCATAACATTAATAAAAATATTAACTTAAGTTTTAAAATAAATGTTTTAAAAAACCTACTATCTAAAATTAAAATACATAAATATAATATGTAAAGCATATACAAATGAGAATTTAAAAATGAAATCAAACATATAAAACATTTTCAAGCATACAAAACCCACAATCTCTTTTTTTTCTCAATTGCATCAAGTAGCTAATGTGATGTATTACATTCCTAATTCTACAAGCCGCCTTTGTGCCACGTCCCTCAAGGCAAGCCCAAACAAGTCTATGTTAGGGTCTTAAATTCTTAGATTTCACACAAAAAATAATAATTTTATAGTTTAAATTGCTTTTAAGAAGATATTTTATTAAGATGAATGAATGGACAACATTACCAAATAGGGGGTTCTTGAAGCTTCGGTGAGCGAGCGAACCCTATTTGGTAAGGTTGTCCATTCATTCATCTTAATAAAATATCTTCTTAAAAGCAATTTAAACTATAAAATTATTATTTTTTGTGTAAAATCTAAGAATTTAAGACCCTAACATGGACTTGTTTGGGTTGGCGTCTAGGGGACTCAAAAAAAGGGAAAAAGCGACAAATTTTCAAAAGGCGAATGCCCGGGCTAAGGCGCAAAGCGCACCAGGCGTGCGCCTTTTGAATGGGCTGCGCCTAGGACCTGGGCGAGGCGCCTACCCTAAAATGCACCTTGCCTGAGCGTCTAGGTGCGACTTTTAAATCATTGGTGAGGGAGGAGGGGATATTGCTCAAAGTGGACATGGAAAAGGCATACAACCATGTAAATTGAGAGTTTTTGAATTACATGCTTAAAAGGTTCAACATTGGGAGGAGGTGGAGGAATTGGATAAAGGTGTGCATAACAACAGCTAGCTTCTCTATCTTGGTAAACGGTGTTTCAGCAGACAGATTTCAGAGCTCGAGGGGCCTAAGGCAAGGTGACCCCCTCTTTCCCTTGCTGTTTATGATAGGAAGCTCTAAGTATGTTGGTGAATAAGATAGTGGAAGGAGGATTATTTGAGAGCTTCAAGGTGGGTCAAGAAATGGAGGTAGCACTGCTGCAGTATGCTGATGATACTCTCTTCTTTGTCAACATGACAGAAGATCAAGTGGAAAAAATCAGAATGATTTTAATTTGGTTTGAAGTGGTCTCTGGCCTGAAAGTCAATATGCATAAAAGTGAGCTAATGGCAGGGGGGAGTGGGGACTGGTCCAAATTTGGAAGTGTTGGCAGATATTGTAGGCTGCAAAGTTGGAAAGTTGGCATCAAAGTACTTGGGGATGCCACTTGGGCAAAAATGCATTTCTAAGAAGACTTGGGACCCAGTGATGGAAAGAATGGAAAGGAAACTTGCCTCCTGGAAATCGAGGTATCTATCAAAGGGAGGGAAACTTACATTATAAAAAAGTGTTTTGTCTTCTCTTCCTACCTACTTATTGTCTCTCTTCTATATTCCAGCTAGTGTGGCTAAGATGTTGGAGAAGACAATGAGAGGTTTTCTTTGGCAGGGATGGAAGGATGAGGTTAAACTTCATTTAGTTAGTTGGAGCAAAGCTTGTAAGCAAAGAAAGGCGAGAGGTTTGGGTTTAAGGAATGTGAGAAAGTTTAACTTGGCTTGTCTAGGGAAATGATATTGGAGGTGGAATGAACAGACCACGAGTCAATGGAGAAAAGTAATAGAGGCTAAGTACGGCTCAAGGAACTAAAATTGGGACCCAGGAGAATCAAATTTATCTTACGGCTGTGCAGTCCAGAAGGGTATTCAGAAGTCAGAGAAGGATTTCAGACAAGGTTTAAGAATGGAAGTAGGAGATGGTTCTAGAGTGAGAATCTGGAAGGAAGTCTGGTACGGGGATAGCCCTCTTAAGGACAGATTCCCAACCCTCTTTGATATTGCTATCAACAAGGAGTGTATGGTGTCAGAGGTGTTTTCTCAGGTTGGAGGGGCAGGTGTGTGGTGTCCCAGTTTTAGAAGGAACCTGAATGATTGGGAAGTGGAGCAATGGGAGGAGCTGATGCAGATCCTGAATGAGGTAAGGGTGGACAGTACAAGGGGGGACAGGAGGATTTGGGCAAAGGAGAAATCAGGTAGGTTCTCAGTCAAATCTTTTTACAGAAGCCTTTGCAGGGAGGAGGAAGATAATTTCCCCAAAGACTTGGCGTGGAGGAAGGTGGCTCCTTTAGAAGTCTCCTTTTGTCTATGGGTGACAGCTTTAGGGAAGTGCTTAACAGCTGACAATTTGTCAGAGGTTGGGTAGTAGAACCAAGCAGATATGTCCTATGTGGCAACAATTCTGAAAAGTTGGAGTATCTCTTCCTGCACTACAGATTCAGTTGGGTAATTTGGATGAAAATGCTAGAGGTTTTTGTAGTTCAGTCGTGCCTCCCAAGGAATGTATTGGATCTGTTACAGGTCTGGGGTCTGAGGGGTCTGTCGAGAAGAGGTAAGATTCTATGGAAGGTGTTGCCAGCAGTGGTGGCGTTGTCAATCTGGTCAGAAAGAAATATTAGACTCTTTGAAAATCAGTTGAGATCAGAGGAGGAAGTCATAAAGAGCATTTGGGAAAGGTTATATTCCAGGTGGCGATTCACAAACTGTTCAAGAATTGTCCTTACAATTCTTTTTGGAGCATAGTAATCTTTTTGTATGATGTTCTTTTTTGGGTTTTTTTTGAGTTGTACAAAGTCAAAGTGCTTGCTTTTCTCAGTGCCCAGTGGGCAAGGCTGTATCTCTTTCAGTCTTCTATTAATGACATGCTTTATCTTAGTTTTTTTTTATCAGCACCTCAAGAAGATTTTATTAAAATTAAAGAACAATCTAAGTTGGCAAACTATTCTGCTTTAAAAAGATGGTACAATTTTACAGTACTCCTCCCACATTACAGAAATTTCTTTCATAAAGTAGGCCAAAAAGGAGCAATTTGGTGCACATTGAATGCTCTAAAAGGAAAAAAAGCAAAGGCCAGAAAAGGAATAAGATGTAGGGAGAATGGTTTGAATAATTTTAATATGGTAGATGTGATAGATGCAGTCAAAAATTTACCCTGAAAATTTTTTAGTGTCAGATACAAATTTACAATAGAAATTGAAGTATCCAACACAATACACTACCCTTTTACAGTATCCAGGTATCGTAGTCCATCCTTTTTTTTTCTTTTGAAAAGGTAAAGTATTGTATTAAGCATCAAACAGTATAAAGAACCGTACAACAGTGTTTTCAACCCGGCCGTTCGAACCATCAACCGGCCAAGATTCCAGGTCTGCTTCAGTCAAGACCCGTCAGACGGTCAAAAACCGTTGACTTGGTCAAGAACCATTCGACCCGGCCGATTCAACCGCTGACCCATTCGACCCAGTCACCGGGTCGCGGGTTGCACACTCAATGTATGCAAACTTTTGGAGGCCATAACTTAGTACTCCGATGTCCGATTGGGGTGATTTTTTTTTTATTTTGGGTAACTTTTCGAGATCTATGCCTCCCAAGGCGCCTTGCCCCACTATTTTCGCAAAAAAAAACCCTTTTTAGCCTCAAATTGCAATTTTTAATATTTCTTATAAATAAAAAAATTAAAAACTGAGTTAAAAAATATAAATTAAATATAAAAATACATATAACATATCTAAAACATATTTATACATTATTTATTGATAAAATATATATTGATACACATATATATATGTATATATATATACTTAATATATGATGACGTGGCACGGTCTGAACCATTCGACCCGGCCAGTCGAACCAGTGACCCGCAACCCAGAGGCAAAAACAGTTCGGCCTCCAGGTCGGTTTTTAAAACATTGTCGTACAAGAGGCTATACAATCGTAGTCCATCTTAGCTGCATTGAAATAAAGACATAAAGCTCCCTATGAAGGTAATTATACCTGATTATATTAGTGAAAAAGAAAGGCATGTACATGAGAGACTGAATTTATACACAAAAGGGTAAACATGCAGCACCATCCTCCAGAAATTTAGATTTTAAAAAGAAATGATATTGCTAAACCACCTGCCATCTAATTCAAATCTCTAGGAATCCACCCGATTCAAACTGGCAAGAAAGGAAGATAATCCCTAATCTCATTCAGATAATTGGAAAGCTTCCATTGCTTTCAACCAATCATAATATTCCAGCAGTTCAGCCAATGGCATTAGCTAGCATACCTTAAACTTCAAAGAATCCACAATCCAATGTGTTGCTATGCTACTCCTAACCCTGATGATAAAGTAAGGACTTAGGCCTTAGTAGAATCTGTAAATCATCCCCCCAAAGTGGGTCACCATGGATACAAATGATAATCCTGTCCACATTGAAGAAACCCCTTTCACATGTGCTGGAGAAGGATTACCTGAGGAGCTGAGATGTAATTGCAGTCTAGCATCAAGGTTACATGAGGAAAGAATGAGTACTTCAACTAAATTCCTTCTCGATCCTAGGGTGAAAAAACCCATATAATTCAAGGGAGAAAGATAACAATTTCCTGACTAGACCACTTCCCCTCCAAAGTTCCATTCTGTTATGTTCCTCCTACAAACCCCATGTAAAGCATGGATCATTTTCCTTCTAGTAGATTAATGTTGCAACACCAAGACAATTCAGTCTCCACTGCCAAAGTTCTTTGGACTTGGCATGACTAATTGCAACCCAAATTCTTAAAAGTATTTCATTAAAGTAAAAACAAAAACATATACAAAGCCTTGCATAATAAGGCATTGGTCAAGACAAGAAAAAGATTACTGTAAGGTATATTCTTGAATATCTTATGTGCTGCTGCCCATGAGTATACCCTTCCCCAGCTACCTTTTAAAACTGAATCTACTGTACTGAAATTGTGTTAAAAAGTCTCCTTTTTCTTTCTGTCCAGATTGACCACAGCACCGCTGTTGGAACCACCCCCCCAAAAAATATTTCCTTTCCTCAATAAATCACACAAATTCCAACTCTATAGTAATGCCAACAGGTCTCTTGGGAAACAGAGCTTAGTCCAAACATCCTCAAACATTGTGCCCCAAATTTTTCTGTTTATCTAATTATTTATAATGCAATCTTAGTTTCTTTAGTATTATCCTGACTTTAGGTTTTGAGTGATATCTTGATTATTAACTTGAATACTAGATTCTTCCGCCCTAATCTTTCTTTAAGTCTCACTGAATCTCCATTTATTAACCTCTTGATGCTTAAATCCTTAATCTAATGAATACTGTACCCTCTTTTTTGTCCAACATCAGGCATCCTTCCAATGAAATGAGGATAGCATAATAGTATATCCCAAATTGAAATAGCACTAAGCAAAGTCTACTCTTTGGAGTGTCGAAGTTGAAAAGGTCCAAAGTTTTAAATCAATCCCAAAAGGAAGGCATGCGCAAGCACAAATATAGATGCATATATACACACACAAAGGAGAAAAGTCTACATTTGCATGCATATGCACAAGTACTCATATGTACATACAGGTTTCTGTTTTTCAATCAGATCAAGTAGACCTTTTATAGAAAGCAATATAAACCAGTGGAACTCTCAATTTTTCAAGTTAAACAATGCCCAAAAGAAGGGTTTAACTTTTCCATGTAGAAGAGGCTTTCGGACTTTCTATCTAGATGACCCAGGTAGGTGCAATGCATGTATACATGCATGTAATATGTAGATCATGGAAGGATGACATTATGAGAGAGAGAGAGAGAGAGAGATCTTGGTGGTCCAGACATGAGCCAGTTCCAGATGCATTCCAAACATTGGAGAACAGTCTCACGCACCACGTCCTAAAGAGTAAATACTGCAGAACGGGTGCAGAAGAATTTCAAGATTAAACCCCAAGTAGACCCAACAGCAGTGGGCAAGGCTGAAAACCAGCAATGCATTTATCATTGGAGAAACGATGACGAATAATAGCACATACCTCATACTCTCTAACACGGAAGATTGGGCTAAGCATTGCACACTGAAGAGCACATCCACGGGCTACACACTCACTTGCATTCACTGTCCGGCTAGGCTCTTTGTTAAACAGGCTAGCTAAAGTTCTAGTAATAGCTGGTATCCGAGACCCTGATCCAACAAGCTCAACTGCATGAATCTTATCCACAGTCAAGTTTGCATCAGCCAAAGCCTTCTCACAAGGAAGCCTAATTCTTTCCAGCAGATTCGAAGACATTTTTTCAAACTCTTCCCTCTTAATAAAACCCTTTACGTCTATCTCATCCATCAAACACTCAATATTAAGTGATGCCTCTGCATTTGCACTCAGAACCTTCTTCAGCTTATCACATGCTGCCCTCAACCTGATGCATGCCCTCACACTAGAATAAACATCAATGTTATACTTTTCCTTGAACTGTGCTGCAAAATAACTAAACAAAACCTCATCAAAGTCCCTCCCTCCCAAGTTTCTATCAAAAGCATGAGAAATTATCCTCATATAACTAGCCTCAAATGATGCAACAGACACCTGCGTGTCACAATGTCCAATATCAACAAACACAACATAAGTAGGGCCTGCATTGAAGACATCGGTCTTGTAAATTCCATAACCAAGAGCTGTAGCAGTACAGTCATGCATCAATCTTAATGGCTTCAATCCAGCTATTGCCGCAGCATCCAAATAAGCACGTCTTTGCAAATCTGTGAAATAAGAAGGAATCCCAATGACACAATCTGAAACAGGAGTTTCCAGATTCTTCTCTGCTATCTGTTTTAAATGTGAGAAGAGCATTGCCAAGATCTGAACCGGTGTCAATTTCAGTGTCTCACCCAAATATTGCAAATGAATCAAAATGTTGCCATCAGAACCTTCAGAAGTCTCGAAGGGAAAATTCCGGAGTTCCTTCTGAACATCAGGTTGTCTGAAATTAAGCCCAATCAGTCTCTTCACCTGAGAGATTGTGGATTTTGGGTTCATCAATGCAGAAGCAGCACCAGACGCACCGATAAAACGTTGCTTCTCACCGAACGAGACGACAGCAGGTGTTTCACGCTTGGATTCATCATTCAATAAAACATCAATCCCCCTCTGCTTTGCAGCAGCAATAACACAACTCTCGTTGCCAATGTCAAATCCTACCACACTCATTCTCAACTCAACCAGAACATAAACCGTGGTAATTCAATAACAAGTTGGAGACAAACACTATAAAGGCCCTGGGGTTGGTCCTCTCTCACAGTTACCAGTACGCCAAATCCTATAAAACCTTATTCCCGAGGAACCGTCCTGTATGGAATTCAAGAAATCGAACTTAGATTTACCGAATTAACGACGAAACAATCCATAAACCACAGAAACCGCTAGAGATTCATTAACTACTGGACCCTTAATTCCATAACCACATGTTACAAAAGAAAAGAAAACAAAAAAGAATGGAATTTCACGCGAAAGAGCTCATCTTGACGAGAAATAACAATTGAAAATTCACAAAAGTTGAAAAGCTTACGAAAAGTGTCCAGATTACCATCAAGATAATAAAAACAAGAGCGAAAAGCAACAAGTATCGATGAATCAACAGATAACAGCTTCAATGAAACAGAAAAAGGAGGAGACAAAGAAGGAAGAATCATCAAAGTTACCTGGTTACTAGGAGGAATGGAGGAGGAGGAAAGATGGGACACAGAGGAAAACCCTAGAATTGCACTTTGAGAGATTCAAAGAAACGAGTGGTGATTGATAGAGGGGAAACCTCCACTTGGCTGGCAAAGAAATTGAGAGTTTGAAAATCATTTATATGGCAACGCAGCGAGGCCTAGCATTGAGGAATGACGAAGAAAGAGAAAGTGGAGGAGCGTTCCGAGCCAACAACAGAAGCATCGATTTCACCGGTTTGCTCGGAAAAATGTTTGGCTCCAAATTTGGCTTCGACAAACAGTGCCTTAACACGCACTCATACTCTTGCATCATATTTTGCTTTTGGAACCTCCACGTCATCATTTGGAAGTCGAGGTGGATGGGCCAGAAGAATGTTATCTGGGATCTTCTCCAAATATACATGTGAGTGCGGTGTGAAATCGATATCGATCTAGGCCGTCAATCTTAGACCGTAGGTGGGTCAGAAATCGCCAATCGTGGAAAAGTTGTTTTAGCAGTCAGAATTCGTTGGGACACCAATCCATCCAGCTGTTGAACCTTGAGACTTGTTAGTTGGGCTTGGGAGTCTCTCTTGGTAAGCCCTGTGCATTCCAATGTCACCCCAACAACAAACAATTACCTTTCCACGCTGCAGCAAGGCTGCAATTGAGCTCGGAGATATATCAAAGTATATCAAAAGTCAATCATCGATCCAATTTCGTGTGATCTTTTGTATTAGGGTATGTCTTGGGTCGTGGAGTTAGGAATAGGGCTATAACTTGGGCCGGGTTAGCCCAAAAGTCGAGTTGGATTAAGGTTAGGATTAGAAAGTGTTATCCCACTTAACTTTCAGGTTGGGTTATATAAAAATCATAGATTTTAATGGATAGCTACATTTAATTAAAGTAAGGACAATTTTGATAAATTGTATTTTTATTGTTCAATTATTATCTTAAACCATTCTTATTATTTTTGATAATTGACTAGCTCTACCCTTATTGTTAGCATCAAATAGTATTCCGTTAAAATTCTTATATATGTGACATCACACGATGTATAATTGTTTTTTAAAACCCAATATTATCTTCTTTGTTTTTGTTTTTGTTTTTATTTTTATTTTTATGAGAGAGGATGTTTGTAGAGTTTTGTTGCAGATCCCACAAAGATGATAGATCGGAGATTACATTGGACCCTAAAAGTCGACGTAACTCGACGGGTATCCAGTACTACAACTCCTTCGGTTATCTCAGTTGACCTCTCCAGGGTATATGTTAATGACTGTGATGAGTGTGAGATATAGAACTGGGACAGGAGGAACATTTGATTGAGCTTCTTTTTGTTTCCAAGTGAATATTAAAAGAAAGGTAGGATGGAAGCTCGTACTCGAATTGGAATCACTAATTATAGACATGGTCTTATAATTAGATATGTGTACGCAGATTAGAAATATTCCCTTGAGTAAAAGATATGGACAATGGCCGGCAACCCCGTTTCACTCCACTAGAACCAAAAAGTGAAACTGAAATGTCGAAAAAGAAATTAATAACCAAGAAGGCATTCAGCAAAAGGGCGCACATTAGATTCCCGTGTAGGCCATTTTGATCACAGAATTACGTGTATCTGTATACAAATGTAATTTTGATGCTATAGCTTTGACCAAATGCCATCACCATGCGTGGTCCACCAAATCGGCCATGATCCACAAACTTGCAGGGTAACCACTGCAAGTTGCAGGGTTTTATACAACGATTCTTCAAGGGTGGAGCTGGCAGTTCAGCGATAGCCATTCCAATTCGACCCCAAGTTATTAAACTCAACAACCCAGACATGACATCCAAATTTGAACCAAATCAAGCAAAAATACATATTCTTGGGGCTAAAATCAGGCAAGAAAAATCATAGATCAAGAAATCGTTTGAAATCCATATTCCCAAAAGAACCTTCAGGAGCATCAATCCAGCAACCACATTCCACAAGTTTTTCAAATTAACAGAGAGAGAGTAAAGAACACAAACCTGGTGGATAGGTGGGTACATTGAATTGGTGCAGAGGAGACATTCGAGCAGCTCATGGACGTTGGTGGCCAGAGAAATTGTGAAGGGAGCAACATTGTAGTGGGGCTTAAAGGAGAACTGATGGCGATGGATCTCTTCCTCATCATTCCCGTCTAAGGATAAGACGCATTCAATGCTATCCAATTCCATTCATATACAACAACAACAACACTCAGAAATGAATTGGGCAAAAGATAACAACAGAGTATTATTGCTCTTCTTTTGGGTTTTAATTTTATTCTTTTCTTTCAATCCTTCCCCCTTAAACTCACACCGTTTTTTATCCTTGAGGACGGACAAAGAAAAGAAGAAAAATGAATTTATGCCAAACTCAAGGGTCCAGATGTAGTAGGCACGTCAGGTAAGCACAATGAGTAAGCACCTAATAGCTGTGTGACACCTGTCCCAACTAATGTGCTTTTCATATAAACATTTTTGCTCTGTTAGACAAGAATTATTATTTTATTATTTTTTTCTACTGTTCATTGTCTTCTCCCTCTAAAGGCAACCCCATCGACAAGAACAAATGACTTATGGCGATGCAATCCTTCTCAGATTCCCCATTCGATTTTAACAGAAACCCAACCTCTTCTGGTCCCCTTTACTTCCCTAGTTTTCCTTCTTATCACCCCATTGCCAATGCTCTATCATTCTAATCATCAATCGGGCTCCTGCACTGTGAACTCTGTTGTTCGAACTGGTGGCTATCCCTACCGAAATCCAAGAAAATCATCACTAGTCGAGTGCTAATAATCCCAAATCGGATCGGATTAAAAGTCTCTTGCCTCTTGCAGCATCGTTGCTCAGGCCGAAATTTTGATTCAGGTACGCCTCTTCTCCTCTACGATTTCCCCTTTTTTGTTTTTTACTTATTAATTCTAACGGAACAAAAACGTTTAGATGAAAAGCACATTAGCTGGGACAGGTGTCACACAGCTATTAGGTGCTTACTCATTGTGCTTACCTAACGTGCCTACTACATCCGGACCTTAGACGGGTCAAACTCAGTGCGTGGTAGTTGATGGTGGATTGGCGATGAGCAACCCAACAACAGCAGCGATAACCCACGTGTTACACAAGCACAAATTTCTGTCCGTGTGAAGAGTCTTTGGGGTGTGGTCAACTCCTAGAGGGCAGCTATGAGTACGAGCATGTCAAAGGGTAGAAAGGGAATGAGTGGGTGCGACCAATTACTCGAATTGTTGGTGACAATGCCATTTTAGAGAACTCTGAAACTACAGAAATAAGGTCCTAAGTTTATTCCATGGTCTATTTTTTTCCTTCAGTTTTTAATTTATGAGAATAGCCACCAATGCTTGAGATTAAATAGAAATTTGTTTGATGGCGAGAGAAATCCCTTTAGTTCTAGGCTCCTCACCGTTGCTACTGCCTGAAATCGTCGTCTTTTTGTTATTTTTCCTCAACAAACTTATCAAACTCTACATGCCATTGATTTTCTTCATCCCTCCCCCCCCCCCTTCAACTCAGCCACCGATTCCCATAACTCAAGCAGGTCACCATCTAGGGTGAAGGACAAGGCTTCCCTAGGTGAAGGATGGATCAAATATTGGGGGAAAAGAAGATGGAAGGGAAGAGGGGAATACAAATTTTTCATCAATTGAGTTTTATTTTGAAAATTTGAAGAGTAGTGGAGGAAAAATTCAACATTTCATTTCTTTTCGTTAACACTTAACAACGATGTCAATTGTCAAAAACAATAGGGGTACTTTAAGATAATATGTAACATATAAGGGTAGACTGAGTCAATTAGCTAAACCATAAGGGTAGTTTAAGAAATTTGCCCTTAAAATAATCTCCCCAATGGGAAATCCATTTCCTTTGGAGATTGGCAATGGATATTCATTTTTCTCCCCGACATGGATTAAGAGGTTGGTTCAAACTACCAATACATCTCTATGTATCAACAGAGGTGTACCAACACTTCGAATCATGTGCCTTTTATTTTTGGGTAAATTGCTGAAAACTCTCCTAGTAGTTTTTAATTGTTATTGAAACCTTCATTGGAGTTTATTAATTGCAATCACCTCCCCTGAACTTTCCCACATAATTGCAAATAGACCCTCTCTGGTAGAGTCTTCTAAAAAGAGGCATGAAAATGTCCAAATACCTATGCATTTACTTCTAACAAAGATGTTTGTTTTCTAAATTTTCTCTTCATATGAATCACTACCCCAAGAGTTCGGATATGCTCTACAGAGATGTTGCAGATGCACAGCCAAAAAGTGTTGTGAGGTCGATATGAGGCATGCTTTGTAAGGAGCAGATCCGAACTCCTACCCCAAACCCTTCTAATCTCTTTTTTGAAATTGATTTATTTTTCAATTTTCCCTTCATATCAATCACTCAAAAGAAAAGCTGCAACTTTAAATTCTCTTTGTTTTTGTTGTTCATAAAGTTTGTATTGTTTTTTTACTCCCATAGAAACTAGACTCAATAGTAACTGCATGGGTACTTTGGACATTTTCATGCCCTTTTTTAAAAGATTCTACCAAGAAGGGGTCTACTTGCAACTGTATCAAAAAGTTCAGAGGAGGTGATTGCAAATTGCAACTACTAAACTTTAGGGGAGGTTTGAATAATTTACCCTTTATTTTTTTTTCAAATTTCATTTTTAAAACTGATTTTATATATTTAAGGGAAAGGAAAATAGTGACTCTAGCACGTTTGAAGATGTGAAGTGTTGAACATGAAATGTGTTGAGAGCGGAGCTCTGTGAAAAGAAGGATACTATACATACCATCATTCAATGCACCACTAAGTGTTATTAATCTACTAGGGAGTATTTTCCTATTATATTTGATTTTCAATCTTTTGCATCAATCAAAGTTTTATATACTTTTGTTAAATTAAGTTAGCTCTAGTTTCCTTCTTGAACTGATAACTTGATTTTCTAGTTTCTTAGCTATTTTGGTTTTGTTACATCTCAACTTATTGACAACTTTTTCGATAGTCTAGTTCTATTTCTAAACTAAAAAGAGTTCTAGTCTTACTTACTTTTAATAATGGTCTTTTCTTCTTGTCTTATCAAACTTTAGAATATTTATTTGATATAACTAATATCTATGGTCTTTTTGTGCTTTCGTTGCCACTTGGTGACAAAACGTCATCTTACCTGATTCTGTTTCTTTACTTGTAAGATTTTGTAATCATTTTCTACCTCTCAAATCTCTCTTCTTCGTCTTTGCTTGTTTCTAATCTTTCTGGTTATCGTATCCCTTCTTTCTTTTCCTCTTCT